GAACATTTCTGGCTGGTACTTCTCTGATTTAACACGTCGGGGTTATGTTCTGAGAACGATGTTCTTGTTCTTCGAGCATTTCGGGTTCTAAGAACATGCCGTGGTAAGCCTATGGAACTGCCAGGACGGTCGCTCCCTGCTCAAATTAGGCAGCAGCGCCCCGGGCGATGATTACACGCTGGTCGTTGAAAGTAGGTATTTCTGGATTCCCAGATCCCACCCTGCTTCTAGCGCCTTCCTGCTTCAAGAATCGGCATGGTTCTGATGCGTTATGTTGTTGTCTGAGAGGGCCTGGACCCAATCTACTTTACCCGCCTTCCTACTTTATGTTTTTACCTAATTCCTAATTCATGTTTTACCAACTTCTTCCGATCGACGTGTAAGACGTCGGGATCTCGGCCTGCTCGTTGGCATGCGTCGTCGTCATTTTAGTTGATGTTAGGCTGTCCTCTCCCAGTTTTCCCCAGCGGCAGAACACATTCTTATGAAGTTATGATCATGCTTTCCGTGTCTTTCTGTTAATCGTCGCCCTGTATCGCATGAAGAACCTCCCTCTTTGCAGTGCATCTCCCATCCGTCCCGCTGGCAAGGCACGGCCTCCGTGCGCCATTGGACGTGGGCAGAAAACTTTGAGGTCAAGTGGGCGAAGCAGAAGTGGCGTGTGCTGAGTTGGATTCGAAAATCTTGCGCGTTGCCCCGCAACCTGCGCAATCCAGTTCCTCCAGTCTCGGACGGCGACGGCTCACCAGATTTTGCCAAGCGAGCACCTTCCCAGACTCCCGACGCCATGACTTCTTCAGCACGAGCTCCCCGGAAGTCCCGGCCCTTCCGCCGGGACTGGTGTTGCATCCCGAGACGTGGCTCGACGGTCCCGAGCACTGAGGGACCCCCGAGGCTGAACGCAGCGAAGGACTAGCCGGCGTGATTGTTCCGTGATTCGAGGGGGCCAGGGCTTGCGGGAGGACCTTCCCGAAGGGCCTCTGCCTCGCGGCCCCCGCCCCGCCTCGCCGGGCGCGGCTCCGTGGCCTGCACGGGGCCCGCAGTTGGCGGGGGGGGCCGCTGGCCGCACGGCGGGCGCGTTCAGTTCAGGAGCGACAGGAGGACGTGCACGTACACGAGTCCACGCTGGTTTCGAGAGTACGCATTGCGCGAATGTCCGCATCACGCGGCGGGTCTCGCGGATCGATGGGGCCGTGTTCATGTACATAGTTGGGCGCTTACGTCCTCTGTGGGCTTGCTATCAGTCCTGCCCGCGTCCGACATCTCTTGCCTCGAGGCCTCCCAGGTGGGGTCGGAGGATCGCGCCACATCGTCGATGCATCGGCGATGCAGCTCGATGCGGGGCCTGATTTTCTCCATGCTGGCGTCGCCGATGTACCGCCGACGTCGGCGATGCATCGCCGATGCATCGTCGATGCATCGGCGATGCGGCGCTGTCCTCCGACCCCATCTACACGGACCCCATCCAGGAGGCGTCGATTGCCCGAGTCGTCGGCCGTCGCGATTTCTTCACAGCGTGGCTCCCCAGAGTTATGGCATCGCGTGGACTTCCTTGCAGCAGGACAGGCATCGTTACGACAACTCGGATCCTGAGCTGGCTCCATCCGCACCCCTTGAGAAAACTAGCGCCGTGAGGAGGACGAGGGCGGAAGGGGAGGAGGGAGCGAGGAGGGGAAGGGCATCATATCTGTGACATCGCGTTTTTTTCACAACGTGGCTACTCAGAGGTTTGGACCCGTTTCTGGGGACGGGCTCTTCATCCCGAGCGTTGTTTTGACGGCCCCAGGACCCCAAGGCCGAACAGCGTTACGTTTTCCTATCGTGATTTTGTTCACGACGCGAGGCGGTCTGGGGATAGCAACAGACTGGATGAGGGTGGGGCGCTTTCGGCCCTGAAAGGGTGGAGACGCTCTCTTTCTCTCTCCCCTTCCTTCCTCTGTTCGTTCCTTCTTCTCCCCTCCTTTTCCTCCTCCCTGCTCCTCCGCTGTATCTGCATCCGTGTCTTGCCATTGCCCTCCGTTTGAAGAGGATCCACGTGCATGGCATCCGTGTGAGGGGCGAACGGACTCCCCATGAAAAACAAGAAACACAATCCAGAAACAAACCAAATATCGGCAGCTGAAATGACAAACAAAAAAACAAGAATCCACAAACAAACAAAGTGTTTGGCACTTGGTCAGGAGGTGGGTGGTTGGGGCGCACAACGTGTAGTTATGTATTGTTTTGTTGTAGCGCAAACCTTATGTTGTTTTTATGTTTAAGCCGCCGGTCTTTGGTTTCTTGTTTTTTTATTGTTTTGGGTTGTGTGTTCAGCCCCTCCCTTCCCCTGGTGAGCGAACTGCGGGATGGAGAGGAACGGGAGCGGAGGAGCAGGAGGAGGATGAGGAGGAGTAAATGGAGGAGGTGGGGGAGGATGGAGGCGGCGGAGGAGGAGGAAGGAGGAGCAGGAGGCAGGAGCCGGGAGGCAGGCGGAGAAGGAAAGAGCAGTACGTTTAATTTGCTGAGCGCAGGGCAAGGACAATCTGGGGAACCCAAACAATGAAATTACCATTCAAATCCTACACATATGGATTCCTATTGAAATATTGAAGCCCGCCACGAGAAGGAGTCTTAGTGGAACCTCCACATATTGAAACCCGCCACTAGGAATCCTCCACAAAAAGACTGCTAGTGAAGCTCTTCACAAGAAGGATTCCGATTGAACTCCTCTACGTAAAGATTCTTATTGAAACCCTCCACAGGAAGGGTTTGTAGTGAAATCCTCCACAGAAAACTTCCTATTAGAACCCCGCACGAAAAGGAGAATGAGGCGGATGAGTGATTCCTATCAGAATCCCGCACGAAAAGGAGAATGAGGAGGAATATGAGGTGGATGAGGGCGAGGATAAGGACATATTCCTCTTGAAACCCTCCAGAAAGGGTCCTGCTGGATCCTTCACAGAAGGTCTCCTATTGAAATCCTCCACGAAAGAATCCTTATTGAAATCCTACACAGGAAAGTTCCGACGGACATCCTGGACATCGTTTTCGCTGCCGTTCGCAATCTCCCTTGGTCTCAACGGAAGGGTTCCTACTGTCTACGACGCAGGGATCCCTATCGAAAGGCTTCACATAAGGATTATGATTATAATCTTCCACACGACGGGTTTCCTTTGAAATCTGTCAGGGGAATTCTGCTTGAAACCCTTCACAATAATGATTCCTAAGGACAGCCTTGCATGGAAAATTCCAATTGATATCCTCCACAGAAGGATTCCTATTGACATTTTCCACAGAAGGGTTCCTATTGGAATCCTCGACGCAGGGTTCGTTTCGAAATCCTCGACAAAGGGGTTCCTGTTGAAACTCCTCACAGGAAGATCCCTAGTAAGCTCACCCACATAGGGATTCCAATTGAAATCCTGCGCAAAAAGGTCCCGAGTGAAATCTTCCACTGAAGGGTTCCGAGTGCAATTTCTTCACAAGAAGGATTCCGATTGAAACCCTCTACAGAAGGATTCATATAAAAAACCCTCTGCAATAAGGATTTGTAGTGAAATCCTCCAGAAGGGTTCCAATTAGAACCCCTCACGATAAGGATACTGAGGCGGATGAGGAGGAGGATGAGGAAAAGGAGGCGGATGGGGACACGGACATGGAAGGATTCCTCTTGAACGCTCCACAGAAAGAGTCCTGTTGGATGCTTCACAGAAGGGTTCCTATTCAAATTGTCAACAGAAGAATCCCTATTGGAATCCTCCGCATAATAGTTCCGGCAAACATCCTTGAAATCGTTTTCGTTGTCGTTCGCAGGGTCTCCCTTGACCTCACTAGAAGGATTCCTATTGTCTTCGACGCAAGGGTTCCTATTGAAGTCACTCACAGCAGGATTCCTAGCAGAACGTTCCACAAAACGGGTTTCTTTCGAATTCGTTCGCAAACGGATTCTGCTTGAAATCCTTCGCAAGAATGGTTCCTGCTGACATCCTCTCAAGAACTATTCCAATTGAAATCCTCCACAAAAGGGTTCCGATTGAGATTCTCCACAGAAGGCGAGTGAAGCGGATGAGGAGGAGGAGGAGGAGGCAGATGGCTCGGTTGAGGTGAAGGAGGCGGAAGGAGTAAATTCTCAACATAAGGATTCCTAGTGAAATCTTCTACAGAAGGTTTCCGATTGGAGTCCTCGACACAGGATTTCGTTTTGAAATCCTCGGCAAAGGGGTTCCTGTTGAAATCCCGCACAGAAAAATCCAGAGTGAAATCACCCACATAAGCATTCCTATTGAAGTCCTCCACAGAGAGATTCCGAGTGAAACTCTTCACAAGAAGGATTCCGATTGAAATGTTCTACAGAAGGATTCCTACAACAAAACTTTCTGCAAGAAGGATTTGTAGTGAAATCCTCCACAGAAGGGTTCCGATTATAACCCCTCACGAGAGGGAGAATGAGGCGCATGATGAGGAGGATGAGGAGGAATAGGAGGCGGATGGGGACGAGGACAAGGAAGGATTCCTTTTGAAACGCTCCACAGAAAGAGTCCTGTTGGATCCTTCTCAGAAGGGTTCCTACAAGGAGGAGGAGGAGGAAGAGGAGGAGGAGGAGGAGGAGAAAGAGGAGAGGAGTTGAGAGGAGGGAGAGGATGGATGAACGAAGCGGCGCTGGAAAGAGAGCGCCTCCGTGTGAAACCCTTTCGGGGTCGAAAGCGCCCCACCCTCCTCCAGTCTGGCGCCCTGGGGATACAGTGAACCCGCACAGTTAGGATGGGCAGCATGCCCAAGGGAACCCCTGCATCTTTGCCTCCTCGGCCCATTCTTCGCCGCTTTCGCTGGCCGCGCCCCGCTCGAAAAGCTTCGGCTTCGAAATGGGCGTCCAAGGCCCTTGCGTCCTTGTCGCGCATCCTTACTATACGGGTTCACTGTACCTCGCGCTGGCCACGACCCCACGCGCACGGAGTGCTCGTGGGCCGCCCTGCCCTCCCCCCCGTGGTGGCCGACGGCGCCAGGTCGACGCGGTAGGAGGCATGGTCTACGAGCTGGATGCGGAGGTCTCGTGCAGGCGCGGGCGCGCGCGCCCCGATGTCCCCCGACTGAGCTATCTCGTGCACTCTAAGCTATGTCGTGCAATCTAAGTGGTGTGGCGCAAAGCGTGACACAGATTCCAGGAGGAGGGGGCACAGGCCTCGTAGACTTTAGGGGAAGGAGGAACGACAGAAGCCTACAAAACTCGGAGGTCCGCGCGGCCTTCTCGCATCGGCGCTGGGCCCCCCTGGCGGCGCCTCCGGCGCCGCTCCTGGCGCGCTCCGCGCGCCAGGGGAGAAGGGTGCAGCGCCGATCCGAGAACTCCGCGCGGACCTCCGAGTTGGTATGTTTATGTCATGATTCGCTCCCCTTCTGGATGGGGCCCAGTAGACGGGGGGTCGGAGGAGCGCGCCGCACTGCCGACGTGTCGCCGATGCGGCTCGATATGGAGTCCGATGTTCTCCATGCCGACGTCGCCGATGCAGCGCTGACGTCGCGATGCGGCGCTGTCCCCCGACTCCATTTGCTCCGACCCCATTTGTGAAGCCTCTAGGATGGGGGGGAGGAGGAGGTTTTCGGGCGGCTCCTGCTTTTCTAGGAAGGCTTCCATCCTCGGGATGCTTGAGGAGGAGGAGGAGGAAGAGGAGGAGGAGGAGGAGGAGGTGGAGGAGGGGGAATTGGAGGAGGAGGTGGATGAGTTGGAGGAGGAGGAGGAGGAGGAGAAGGAGGAGACGGAGGAGGAGGAGGAGGAGGAGGAGGAGGAGGAGGACCCCCCGGTGTTAACATGTAAGCGTTCAGGTGACTGGGGAGGGAAGGTGCCCCCGTTACCTTTGGCTCAAGTGTTTAACGGCTGAAGCTACCGAGACTCGCTTCGCCGTGCGGAAGTAAAAAGGTGACCGATCGTCATCGCTGTCACCGAGCTCCCGTGCAGAACCCTCCTCGGGGTTTTGCATGGTAGCGGAGCGCGGTTGCCATGGCGGCGGCGGCGGCCGCTGCAGCTAGGCCCGCGCAGGGCGACCCGCCGGTCAACCTTAATGTGCCGGCGGACAGAGATGCATGGGTCAACATGGACCCCTAACCGCTTCAACGACCTGTGCGAGCAGGCGTACCTGAACGGGGACTTCAGTTACGTTCAGACGGCGCTACTTGCAAATCATTATGGGCTTGCGACGTTCATTAACGAGCGAGTAACACAGGACCGAAGGGAAGTATCACATGCTGAGCATTTCAAATGTTACAGAGCGCTCAGAAGACCAACAGCATGTTGTTAGCGATAACGAAGAGAAACGCTGCGCTTGAAAGGGATGCTCGCAGGTTGGTAGAAAGAGTTGCCGAGTTGGAGACCAACAGCGAAGTACAAGAGAAGCTAATTGAAACAATTGGTCAACTTTCGGAAGCAATCAAAGGCGGAAACGGAAGTAAGCACGGGAGCGGTAAACCGATAAGCGAGTACAAAGCATTACAGGCGTTAAAGAACTTCAGTGGAGAAAGAGCAAAGTTCAGAGACTGGAGCGACATTAAACGCGCTTGCCCAAGTAAAACCGAGTTACCGACCGGCACTGAAAATGTTGAACAAGAGGTTGGAGACGCTCGACGGAGTTGTCCCAGAGGAAGATGATGATGATATCATGCGCATAATGAACGGTCGGTTAACAGCAAGCGAATACTTAAAGGCAAACCAAGCTAAACAAGCAGAGGATGATAACAAAGGAGATTATGAGTTTACCGAGGGAGACAAGACTCAAATGGAGGAAGACTTATGGTACATCCTTAACGAAAAGCTTGAAGGTGCAGAAGCAAGGGGAAAATTACAGGGACTCATGGATGGTGACGGAATTATGGCTTGGCAAAAGGTTTACAAATGGTACTCGGCTGTTGCCGGAGTGACCCTTTCCTCAAAGATGACGCACGCTATGAACCCTGAGCCGCCCGAGAAAATTACCGACGCCGTTGCCCGACTTGAGGAGTGGGGCGCGTTAGCGGAGAATCTTGAAAAGTATGGCAAGGATTACTCACTGCCCCTCCCCTTTAAGGTTACCGCGCTCAGGGCAATAATGGTGCATGCGAATGATTGGTTTGACGAGTGGCAGCAGGCATGTTGGCGGACGCCCGATGCACTTGACATTGACTCGTTCCAGAAGTTATACTCCAAGTGTGAAGATTGGGCGCGTACAAAGAAACTCGACTCAGACACTGAGAATAAAGATGCGATGGGCATTGGAAATATTAACGAGACGAGTCAAGGGTCCGAAAATGTCTGGGATCAGACAGGATGGGTTGACGAAGATGGAAATTGGTGGCCAGAGGACGGATCTTGGAGTTACGGGTCCTGGGCCAATGAAAGCGACGCTGGAGATCATGAAGAAGTCGACGCCGTAAACAAGGGTAAAGGCAAAGGTTCAGGCCCCAAATGTTAAAATTGCGGAGGCATGGGTCATTTAGCCAGGAACTGCACAAAGCCTAAACAGTTCACGAAAGGAGGCAAAGGTGGCAAAGGCGGCAAAGGCAAAGGTTACCGTGCCACCTATGGATCCTACATGAAAGGTAAGATTGCAGGCAAGCAAGGTGGTAAAGGTGGCGGCTCGCGGGGTGGAAGTTACGGTGGCCAAGGAAGATTCACCCCCCACAGCGAGCGTGAGTGCTACAAGTGTGGAGCTAAAGGGCACATTGCCGTTAACTGCCCAGGTCCCAAGAAGACCGCCAACGAAGTTGAGCAAGAGAGACCAACGGTAAACGCGGAAAGTGAACAAACCACCTCGTTTGGCCAACCGCAGCATGTGCTCAGTGTTGAAATGAACGATAAAGTGAACGTGCCACCGGAACAGCCCACAGCTGAGGAGATTAACGGACAATGGGCACTGCCCTCACATTCCAGAAAGAAAATGGCGCGTAAAGTCGCAGTGGGCCTGAGAAAAGCTTACCAGGAGCATCAGTGTAACGGGAACTGCAGTCATGTAAATCAGTGGGGCCAGAGGATAAGTCAAAGTGTACGGCAGGAAAAGAATTGGTTGGAGAAATGTGGAGAGATTGGGCTAATCGAGATGCGAGACTGTGATCCAGAAATTAACGCGGTGCCACCTCAGAGTACAACGCACGAAACAATCGTGGTTACCGTGGACTCTGGAGCGTACAACACGGTAGGACCCCCAAGAATAGGCACCTACTTCCCCATTAAACAAACAGATGCGTCAAAGCAGGGAAGACACTACAGCGCAGCAAACGGAACGACGATAAAGAATTACGGGCAGCGAGTAGTCACCGGCAAGAATGAACATGGAAACTCAGTCAGCATGCCAAGTCAAGTGGCGGAAGTCAACAAAGTTCTGGGATCTGTCAGAGAAATGGTAAACGCTGGAAACAGAGTTGTATTTGACAAGGACCTTAACGGGAGACCCCTGAGTCATATTATGAATAAGGCCACGGGTAAATGTACAACCATCCACGAGAAGAACGGCACGTTTCAGTTTAACATCATGGTGCCGAAGGGACCCGTGGAGGCTGTCAAGCCCAAGGGTGAAGTAAATGCAGCTGAGGGCTTTCCGCGGCCGGGAACCCTCGAGGCGGACCTGTTCTACTAAGCCCCTCATTACCCGTAAGACCAAGCGAAAACTTAAACGTCTTCAACGCCGAGGAGGGCGAAGGGAGTGAAAGCGGGGGCAGCGAAAGTGAGTTGAGTGACGTAGAAGACGTGTTTGTAAGTGACGAAGCAGAGTTGCCGAAGAAAGTTCACTGTGACATGAGACCGTCAAGGGAGGAAGTTGAGGCGCACAATACAACGCATTTACCTTACCGAAGTTGGTGCCCACATTGCGTTAGAGGCAAAGCGCGTAGGCGCAATCACAGGAGACGTAAAAGGGAAAGGAACGGAAGTGCACCAGTAATTTCAATGGATTACATGTGGCTTAAAGGAAGAAAGGAAGAAGGCGAAAGTGCTGGCAATGGTAACCCAATTCTGGTCATGCATTGCAGGGAAACCAAATTAACGTGGAGCCGAGTGTTGTTGAAGAAAGGAGTGGATTCATACTCAGTAAAAGTGGGATGTGACATGATCGGCTTTACCGGATATAAGAAGGTTATACTTAAAAGTGATGGAGAAGCGGCAATTACGGCGCTGGCCAACAGGATTAAAGCGTCGAGTGAACTCGACATGGGTGTTGAAGTCAGTCCTGTAGGCGATTCAAAGGCCAACGGTGAAATTGAGAGAGCTGTTAGAACGGTGCAAGGACAAGTCAGGACATTAAAGAGCGCCTTGGATGCCAATTACAAGACCGAGTTTAGTGAAAGCCATACGATTATACCATGGCTGGTAAGCTATGCGTCTTCTCTGATCAACAAATTCACGATAGATACGGATGGAAAGACAGCCCATGAAAGATGTAGGGGGAGAAAGTTTAACCAACAAATTCCTGAGTTCGGTGAATGTGTCATATACTTAAAGACGCCTGCGCACAAAGGCCGTGAAAAAGCTTGAGATGAGATGGGAAAGTGGGGTGTTTTTGGGAATCAACGAGAAGAGTCAGGAGCTCATCATTGGAACACCGAACGGAGCGATCAAGGCGCACGAGTTCAAACGAAAAGGAAGTGAAGCGGAAAGATGGAATATCAACGAAATCACTGAGATGAAGGGGTTACCTTGGCAGCCTGACCCCAGCACGGCAGGAATGGAGTTACAGTCTAGAATCATGGTACCCATGGACTTGCCAGAGCAAGAGTTAACGGCGCCTGAGACGAAGCCGCTGATTGCGCGAGGAATAGCCGTAAAGAAGCACGAATATCTAAAAATGGGACCGACGCCGGGATGTTACGGGTGTAAATGACTAGTTAGAGGCGACAAAGATCATAAACCACATACTGATTGCAGAGCTCGCGTGATCGAGTGGTTAAACAGACAAGAAAGCCCAAACATACAAGCAAGGTTAGCCTCGGCCCAACTGAGACTCGAAGGTAAAAGCCGTGCGTCTGAAAGTCAAGATCAGGGATCAGAAAGTCAAGCGAAGAGACTGAAACTTAACGTGCCACCCCCGCCGGGCGCCAGAG